ATATAGTGTATATATAAATATACTATACATATACATATAGTATTGACATATGCCTTTTGTATTGTTTGTAACGTAGCATAAACAGTTTTAAAGCCTATTTTTAATAGCCCAAATAAAATAATAAACTATGAAAGCTTGCCTGTGTATGCTTTCTAGTTTAATCAAACTTATTTTTTAATTGCTTTACTATGTGCAATTTCAAAAATTCCAGGTAATTGCAGATGTCTTCAATTTGCATAAATTTTTTGTGGCCTTCTGAAATTACTTTACCTGAGCCAAAGCTTCCATCAAGTTCCTCACCACCTTCTCTTGGTCTTCAGTCAATATCCTGTGAAGGGTGGCTCTCCTTTCACTATCCTTCTTCAGCATGAAAAACCCAGAATCTTTCTCTTCAGGTGAAGGAGGTGCACTGTGATCCTCAAAATTTTCATCTGGGATACTGAATGAAAGACACTCAGTGAAAAGAAACATTACAAAACCACCCCAATGCACATGTTCTGAATCTACTGTGTAACATAAATGCCAGATAGCTCTTTACCTCAGAAAAAGGGAACGGATTCCTTTCCCATCTTTTTCTCCACAGGATTTGGCTCTTGTTTTGAAAGAGAATGGATCAATTTTTAATTCTGTATCAGGTGAGACAGAACCATATTCACTGCTGCTACTTGTATCTTCCACCAAAACAGGGACAGGTAAGGATATACTCCGAAGATACTCTATTCATGTAAGAATATTCAGAAATTAGAAATTAATAGTGCCATCACAGTTCTAAAGTGAAAAGGCTACTCTTTCCGAGGAAAGACTCCAGTCTTCCCCCACAGCAATACAAAACACTAAAACAAAACTGACAAAAAAACCTCCTAAAGCTTATTCTTCTGGAGTAGAGTTATCTTTCAGTTATGCTTTTATTCAAAAGCTTCCTGAGATACAGGAATGCTGGGCTCTTTGCAAGTTCTCTTACAGAACCACACCACTGGAGTGAATGTGCACCTCATATGATCAGCATGAACTTTTCAGCAGTAGTAAGGTGTTTCTACAGGGTAAGTCATCCAAGCACCTTCCAAGATCTTAATTTTATGTATGAATACAAATAGATTTTTTTTTTTACATATATACATAGAAATATATATAGTATAACACATGTAAGATATATTTCTTTATCAGATCATTTTGTATAAGGTTAATTAATTCATAGTCTTTGATTAATAATAAACATGCATGTTAAGTCAGAACTTTTCTTTTAAAATCCAGAGCACGCGCTACTGCTGCAAGAAACCATTCATATCTATTTCATATGTGAACATTTCAAAATGTCCCTTGACAGCAACTCAGCATGAAGGTAACTACGCATTTGTTTGGTGTCCTGTCCCCTGTCCTCTTGCAGCTCTCCCCAGTTCATTTCCTGAAAGAGATGAACATCCTGTACCCAGGCCTGACAAGAGGACTCAAGTGCGTTCCACTTTTAATTACAGAATTTAGCCTAATAAAAACCTATGTTATCTTTCTCCACAAACCTTGGCTCTACTGCTACTATAAACAAGCCATTTGGTTTCTTGTTCAGATTTTCACTAAGTGGCCCTATGACACCACAGCTCTTCAAGCCTATATTATTTGCCTAGACAATTAAACCATAGTCTTGTAGGATTACAAATAGTAGTTTAAATCTGCACAATGAATTGGAGGTTCCTAACAGAGAAAGGTCATTTATTTTCATAGTTGTGCCCACTTCTCTTTGCAGCATTTTAGTGTGACAAATCATATCAGAACAAGTGCTAACCATGGTACCTAGAGAGTTATGTTTTGATAGAGAAGTATGTTAAAACTCACCATTTGTGTTAGCTGAAAGAACTGTGGGAGATAAGCAAAGAAAAAAGAAAGTTAATTGTGCTGAAATTGACTGAGAAAACAAGCATAGTGTAAAGGGGTAACTCTTCCAATTTTTATGGGCTATCTGAACTCTCCTGTCTGCAATCTCTAAAAGTAATATATTGCAATTTAGTTTTAACCTGAGGGGTAGAAACGATGTTAAAAGTGCTCATCCAATGTAATCTTTACCTGGTATTTTTATTTCTTTTAGGTATCATGCCAAAAATATACAGAAGATATTTTCCTATGTATATATGCACTCACATAGAACGTCATTCATACTCTCAAAACTCCTTTCGTATTTTCCATAATTTAGAACGCTACAGGAACTCAGTATATGAAACAAAAATAATGCAGTACATGCACATTTACTACGAGACAAAGATTAATTTGCTCATGCAGAAAAGCCCTGAGCTCAACAGTATGTTCTAACCTTACACAAAACGTACTCTATGCAAACATTCTTTGGATGAAAACATATGAGAATTTTAAAAAAAAAAAAACAAACAACTACATAAAAGCTGCACAAAACCATAAAAAGACTTTTAGAAACCTTATTAGAAATATTTATATAAATCACCTCTGTGATAACACGATAACAGAATTCTGCTACAATACTGTTTCTGCAGCAAGCTGCTAGAACAGAAGGTTACAACTGAATGTTCACCTGGGATGGAGATCTGCTGTGTTCATCTTGAAGACTAAATCAGGAAACAGTATCCTCCACAAGAGAAAAATTCCAGATTGAATTTAGCAATGCTTACCTGAGAGCTTTGACTGGGACTTTCTTTTTTTGCTTGAAACCTTCAAGAATTCATCTATAAGTAGCTCATGAGCAAAAGCTCGTTTATCAGGATCTGGTTCAAAGCAACGCAATATGAAAGCTTTGGCTTCTGCAGACATGGATTCAGGAATCTCTGGGTGTATTTTAAACATTCCCACCTGAGACAAATAAAGGGAGAAACAATGGCCTACACTGTTCTTTTCCCAAGCACTAAACAGCATAAAAAAGTTAGGTATTAGAAGTGGTATACTCTTTCTCAAATTTTGATATTCTTTTCTGTAACTGGTTTATTAATTCAGAGAAAAAAAAGAAAAACTATTACAAACTGTATAATGAATTACATTAAAACCCTCACAATTACAAGAAGAGGCTCATGTGAAGTAGAAAACTGCTTTTCTCTCTGTTTTTTTTGTTGGTTTTTTTAGAAAAAAAAAAAAAATCCACCAAGAGTGCTGAATAGCTGCTATTGCTCCATTACTCTCTTCAAAACTACATAGCACTCCCACTCAGTTGAATCAGCTCATTCTTCTTAACATCCTCACTAACCAAGCATTCCTTTATCTTCTTCATCTGCAATCTCTAATTCTAGCTTCTCCAAACAGTCATAAGATTTCCTGTGTTTACAAATACTGGTCAGAATGGTACAAGGAAGATGCCTGACCTTAAACATAGCTGCTTGTGGTTCTCCCAGTTCATAAAACGGGGGCTTCCCTGTAGCCATCTCAATGATGGTGCATCCCAAAGACCAGATGTCTGCAGCTTTCCCATAGCCACGTGGCCCTTTGTCTATGATTTCTGGTGCCATATACTGAAGGGTACCTGTTTAAAACATACTCTTTTATTTAGGTGCACTAATGATGCAAATAGATAGCTAAAGGACAAGAGGAACAAAATCACCGAGGAGTGAGCAATATTGGGAGAGTTTAAAAAATCCTCCTTATTATTCCATGTGCATTCTACATAAAAATCAAAGTTGTATTCAAAATATTACTTGTGACATCTGATATCATCTCCTGATCTGATGCTACTGCTTTTCAAAGTCAATGACAATTACTAAGAGGTTTCAACGAGCTTTGTATCACATCTAATTTTCATTTACTGTATTATAGATTAAGATTAAAATGAGGAAGATCACTCTTAATTGTGTTCAGACAGGAAAAGGAAGTACAACTTGAAATCTGAACCTAAACCAGCAAGTGATATAAACACTTTTTCTGAAGTAACGGAATCAACCTGACACATCATTCTGCTTTCTATTCCATTTACAGCAGAAATGGAAGAGCAGAGGATGGAATTAAAATAACAGTCACTTCTCATTTTGCATAATTACTTAATGCAGTGCCACTGCATGATTTCACATACAGATCAAATTATCAGGCAGAATGAGGATCAAGTTAATGACAGGCTCTGTAGATAAGCAATTCTGGAGCTGAAGCCAAGACGCCCAAGCCAGTCATGAAAGAAAAAATAAAGTTAGCTTTCAATCGTCAAGATGAAAAAGCCATGTGCACAGAAGAGACAGACTCAAACACAACACAGGAAAGACACAGCTCTTCTGTTGTAGAGGACTTTTATGTCTCAAGTAGAACTTCCAAAACAGCATTCTCTTTGAACAGTGCATACAAGTACACTGTATGGTTTAAGATTAGGTATACAAAAAGTTGTTATTGCAGCAGGCTTTAATATTGACTTGAAGTCAATGGAAGTTCAGTAGCTGTGGGTTCTGACCCTACGTGCAGAGTTCGAGTGAGGAAAGAGAGTCTCCTTTGGGAACATACCAGTGAAAGTTTCAGTACATGGGTTGATTCCTGCAAGTCTCTTTGAAGTTCCAAAGTCTGAAATCTTTAACACTCCACTGTACGTGTTGATAAGCACGTTATCACCCTAAGGAATAAAACGTTCAGAGCAATTATTTTTCTCTGCTGAATCTTCATCTAAGACTTCTTGTATAGCCTGTTTCTACAATGCATTTTTTAGTAACAATTACTTCCTAAGGCTCTTAAGAGGGGAGATGAAAGAGGAATCGATAGTGTTCCTGCTTTATGTAATCCCATTATCAGAAACTTAATCTCAAAGTGAACTACCGGAATACTACAGGAATTTAGTTAAAGAGTACTAAGGGAGGTAAAAGGCTTATTTTTTTGGTGAAACTGAACTCTTTCATCTGAAATCTCCTTGGAAACGAACCTGCTAATATCCCATCCCCAATCTTCTTCACTTCTAATAAGCTTTTATGCAAGTTTGATCATCTCATTGAAAACATAAACAATAATATTGAATTTACCACATCTTAAGTGGCTACACATCAATTCTTCTAAAAAAAATAAAAATAAAATTGTTGGTTTCAAATTCAAATCAGCTACGGTTCACTTACCTAACCCACAGTACAGAACAGCAGAAAGGGTATGTGACAATAATGAACTTTAGGAAAATAAGTTTTTAAATTACAGGACAAATAAAGGGTTATGCAGTTACATAACACTATCAGGCTTAATTCTCTTCAAAATCTTACCTTTATGTCTCGATGCACTATTTGATTATCATGGAGGTATTTTAATCCTTCAAGAATCTGCTTGGTGTAAAAGCCAATTGTCTGCTCATTATTTTTTAATGGTCCCCATTTTGATCGTAGAAGAGCAGAAAGGCTGCCTATTATTTTGGAGAGCAAAAAAGTGAGAGCAAAAATCTAATTAAATTCTGCCTTCTCCCCCAAAGGAAAAACAAAGTAACAACAAACATCGATCCCAAACCAAGTGTAGGCACCTCTTCTACAACCAAAGGCCTTTCCAGGCAAATGCTTACTTTGCATCATCACCAGAGTGAGTAATTAAAAAGAGAGTCACAGTATCTCCACTGGCCTCAGCTGCAGCAGAGGTTCCTCAAGCAGGCAGATCAGAACCCATTTAATCAATGTGCTCACTTCTCTCCCATGCCTGAAGAGAAGCTGCCTCAGAGGAATGTTGTAAAAGAGTGAAAAAGGGTGGATGCACACATGCATGTCTTTGTACATACACCAATTCCACTGTTTTTCGAAAAGCTAAGCTCAAGAACTGGGATTTCTGTTGTGTCTGGCTGCTGTGAGTTCTTTGGTCTCAAACAGAAGCAACAATCACCCATCATCTTTCTCTTGTATTAGGTACCTGAGGAGGGCTCAGCCATCTCAGACTAGCTACAGTCTTTCTAGTGAGATAACCACAGATCATCTCTGATCTGCAGGTAAAAGGAGCTTATCTGCCACAGCAATGATCTGAGCTCTCTCTGTAGCACATCCTATCTAAATACCGAATAAGAGGACCCAAGCACTTTGAAGACAGAGTTTTCCCCATTAATTTAGGAAAGAGATATTAAAATATATTAAATTTGCATGAAATACATCTTGTTGCAGTACTATATGTTTTCATACTTTTAAAATGTTAAAAACCAACCAAACCAACCAACCACCAAACCAGTCTCCTCCACAACTTACCACCTGGCACCTGTTCCATGAATATCTTAATGAAGCCATTCTCACTAAGAGAACCCAAATACTGGACAATGTTCTTATGCTTGAGATGCTTATGCAAAGCTATTTCCTCATGCAGAGGTTGGGAGTACCTGGAAAGAAAAAAAAAAGTTTTTTTCAATATTGACCTTTGGAAAGAAAGTCTTGTGTTTACTGCAGTAGCTGAAGTTCTACTTTAGATTACATGAAACATGTTTACACTGAAAATGACTGTGTTAGATGCATTTAACAACACTGGTTGTGACCACCACATACTAAATAATTATTTAGTTATATACAGCTGGCATATATAAATTATATATAATATTGTGTAAACATTCACATACAAAATGTTAAAAATGCACATAGATAGACTGAGCAAAACAAAATTTGTGGAAAATGAACTCCTCTCCAGCCTAACTTGAAGAGAATAAAAAGTTGGGCAAGTAGCTGGATTCAGACTAGTGCCAAAGTTAACTAGTAAACCATAAAGTTAGTGTATACTTAAAATCACCTCAATAAGGAAAAGAAATCACCATTTAAGTTTTAATTAACTAAAGTAGGAGTCTTATCTGAAAGCAAGAGTGAATAGCTATCAGAGTAAGAAAACAAGAATCACTTCATGGGGAGATATTCAGAACTGATCAAAACAATTTCACCAGATGTAATTTAGTCCAAGGCAAAGTATTTTTCAGAGATGTAAGCTTTTCAGCAGTCTTTCTGCCAAGAAGGTTTCTGGAGTCTGGATCCTTCTCCAGTGTGGAACACCACCAGGGCTCAGCAGCTAATGTGCTCCCTTGGGACAGCCCTAATGCTGCTCTTCCAACCACGGGTGAGCTGGAAGTGGGTCAGCTGCCAGATTCTGTGTATTGTCTGGTAAAATGCAGACAATATGCCAAGAGTCTGGTGGTTCTTTTCACTAAAGCACTAACATCTGCAGTCAGACTTTCAGGGTAGTTGAAATAGATGAAGGACACAGACCTCCTTCTGTCAGTCTAGATGTAAGAAGGAGCCACAGAGTCTTGAGCAAGTGGAAGAGACATTCAGATGCTTATACTGAGGGGGTACTAAACATAACTGCAAACTCAACCTTGCAGCTACTTGCCACCAAAAGGAATAGTTTTACTGCATCTTCACCCTCAGCAGGTTGGTCTCAGAATAGACTTCACACCAACACTGGTACACTCTCATCCCCTAATGAACGAGTAGAAAACTCTTATTTTATTATTTTATTTATTCATTGGGAGGAGGGGTAGCTTTCTTGCTGCCTCGAGTCCAGGAATTAGCTCTCCCTGGAGCCAGTGTGGAGTACCAGTGCCAGGAATGCAATCAAAGCACAAATGTAACTGAAGTTGTTCAGGGAAAAGTGCCTGTGAGCTCCACTCCCTTTCGGGGCCCATAGTTATCAGCTCACCCTGACAACAGCATCAACTACAAGTGGAAAACAATTGTTGCAGAAAACAAAGGAAGTATTTGGTTAATGAAAAGTGTGATTATGCAAGTCTGAGTCTATTTACTAAAAACTAATTTGAGTTTTGGTTTGCCTCTCCACACGTGACTATAAAGATTCTGACTACACTGTTATTCATTCAGAAATGCAAAATCATTAGAGATTATATTCCTAAATTCTATTAACGGGATATTCATTTAGAGCAGCAAGAGCAAGGCAATTACAGTTCTTCCCCCTGCACTTTTAAACTGCACAGTTAATTGAGTCTTGAGCAACTAAAATAATTTAGCAAATAAAATAAAGCCATAAGAAAATTCTCCAGTGGGATGAAGCATTTATTATTTTAGAACCTAATCATTAGGAGACTTTAAATGGTAGGAAGAAAGAAAAATTCTGAACCTTAGAAAGCTATATCTTCTTATTATCTACCTAAAATGATTTCACTTTAAATTGGAAAGTTGATATGGCCACTGGTACTATTTTGTAGTACTGGAAATGCATTTGAGGGCAACAGCATTGCAGGAATGTTTCCTTTTCGTATTGCCAACCATGGCAAGGACTTCATTTACTACTTTTCATAGCTTCATAAGCCTGAGTTACAGTCTTTGATAACGTATTACAAAGTGTCTGAGAGGCACTTTAGAGATCCCGGCGCTCAAGTCACATGTTAAGAAGCAGCTTGTACGACACCTGACTATGAAAACCAAAGGCTAAAGTAGAGTTTAAGAATAAGAATAACTTGACAGTTTAACACAGTTTCATTTGAAAAATCTTATCTTTAGACTTGATATAACTTTTATCAGAATATTTGTAGAAATCTATGTATTCAAATAGGATAAACTGCAAGCCTCCATACAAATACTAAGAACATCAAGTGTCTGCCCTTTATGTAGGCAACCTTTATAAACAAGAGAGGGCAATACATACACAGATAGACTCTGCATTAAAAAAATGTGGAGAAAAAGATCATTCTACATGACATATTCTAATGTTAAGGGGCTTCATAATAAATGATGCACAAACAGGAGAGGAAAATGCCTTTATCAACAGTTCAGGCTCAGAATTGTGAAGGACTCTGCAAATAATGGAATTCAATAGTTCTTGTACAAGGACATGCCTGAACACGTCCAAGTAGACAGGGCTTATCACTAGGCATTTGAGTAAGGTTCTGCACTTCAGTAATATTTCTTTTTGAAAGAAAAAGTATTATGAACTATTAGTACCAAAACCAGTAAACATTTAAATTCCCAGTTGTGATCATAATCTATCTTGCAACTTGGAAATGCCTTGTTACAAAGATAGGGAACACCACTATACACTGCAGACAGGTAGTTTACTGGCAGCTGTGTAGAAGAGGTAGTGCTTGATCAGCAAACAGGTTGATCACGTTACTGATGAAATTATGTAATGCACAAAATTTGGAATCAGACAGTCACTATACCTGCTGTCTCTCTCTGGGATTTCTTTAATAGCAATTCTGACTTGATTGCTCAAATCTCGTCCCGCATATACAATGCCGTAGGTTCCTTTCCCCAGGATGACTCGCTCACCATTTTCATCATATTCATAATCATACTGCAAAGCAAACAACAGTAAGAAATGAAACAGAGGGTTAAGATTTATTCTATCTGACACTGTGCTCATAACTAAGGCATCTAGGACGTTAATTACTTTCTGCAGTCTATGGAGAAGGAAAGAAAAACACTTCAAGAAGACAATTCAGATGCTGTGCAGACATGCCTGTATTTCTCTGCTGACTGTATAGGAAGCACTGGCTTCTAAGGCAGCCATTTCAGGTAGGTGTGTAAAGGTTAAGCTAGCCTTTCTCTGTTCCCTGCAGTTACAATCACATGTCTTAGTCAACAGCGTCTGCAATTCTGCTGGCAGGTGCTGTAGAAAGCAAGGGAAGACGACAGAGGGCACTCTGTGCCCAACGGAGAGCTTCGGCTCCCACTCAGGCATAGAAAGCCAGGCTGGACACGCTTTATCTGTTCCAGATGCTCTCCTGACCTGACCACATCCTCCAAAAACAGCACAACCTCAATTTTGCCACTGCCAGGCCAGCCAGCAGAGTGTGCCAACGGAGGTTAGTCAGGATTGCATGTATTAAGCCTGGTTTCGGCTGAATTTGAATTTCAAAGAGTTTAAGGCCAGTACAGAAATGGTCATTAGATTACTGATCCACCCTCTTGTGTAACACAGACACGTAATTTCACACAGTCACTTCCATGCTAAGCCCAGTAGCTCATGCCTAGATAAAGTATTTTTAATTTTCCTCCAATTAAAGACTCCTTTCTTTTTAATAAAAGAGAGAACCCACTACTTCTTTTAGTACTTCGTTTCAACAATTAATTACTTTCATGGTGAAGTCACGCCTCAATTCAAATTTCTTTGGTGTCACTGTATTTAATTTTGGTTTTCTTCAGTAGATTAAAAATACCATTAGCACACAGTAATTTTCCCTGTAAAAATCCTTACCCACTGTAATCAAGTCACCCACTGCTTTTCTTTTTGCTAAAATAAACAAATTAGGCACCCTAAGGTTCTCACTATAGGGCATTTTTCTATTCCACAAGTCACTCCAGTGGTTTCTGTTTGTCCTGTCTCCGATTTCAGATGTATTATAAAATGCCAACATCAAATCTGGGACAGAGGGCTGTATTCAGTAACCAGTATTGACTCTCTGTTAGTTCTAGATGTCTCTAGAGCTTAGAAACACCAGATTACCATGTGACAGGACATGGGTTTAGGCATTCTATCCTGTTCCCTGCCACCTAAAAGAAAGCCTGAACACCCTAATTGCTGCATTGCACCTGATGGCCCTGTAGTCACTTTTCAATTAACGATGTATATGCTCAGATAGAAACTCAAGGTGACAATAATGGGTGGCAGCAAAAGTAGGGCATCCTAAGCTTCAGTGTGAGTTAGCAGGCTAAGGGTATAAACAGACTCAGAAGAACAACATCATCATTTGATTTGAGTTTGCTGTTCACTGCCTACAGACGGTAACTGGCAAGGACAAGCTTTCCCCTACTACAGCTATATCCTTACTTGTTGTGTAGATGACCTGCTAATAATGTAAATGTACCTGATTCCAGTGATGCATGAAACAGACAACAAACAGACTTGAAAATTTAAACAGATGCTAATGCCACCTGACTATGATTACACTCTGAAGTAACTGTTACAAGAGTCACTCTGAAATTAGCATGACTGGAGAATTTCAGAGTTGAGTACCTCCACAAGCAAGTATTTGGAGCTATGTTGGTTATAAACACTACATGAGGACCATTAAAAAGAATCATTAATTTAGAAACAGTACAGGATAAAATTTTTTAAACAATAACTTGTTTAACTTCTTCCAGAGAAGAGATGAATAATTCACTCCCTTCAGTGAAATGCTACTCAAGAAGCCCAAAATTCCTAGTATGCTGGGAGGTGAAGAAAAAAAAAAAAATAATAAAAATACTTCTAGAGAGTCTCCATCACATTCCCCTTCCTCTGTAGTCTTCCCTATGTCTTCAATGATACTGTTCACCATGTCAAAAAACCTGTTAAAAGGAAAAAAAACAAGAGAAAAGCAAATACACACTTGAGATAGTACAGGGACAAAGAGAATGCTTCTCTCGAAAGTAATGAATGAACCAAAATAGGACTTTAGTAAGTATTAACTCAGTGTAAAAGTTTGTTTGCCAGCAAAAAGAAAAAAATAATTTTTTTGTTTTCATGAAGAATGAAGTAAAAATCTGCAGTTTCCTTAGTTCTTTTACATATGCCTTTTATAAGTGCAAGACAACCATGATGTCTGAAATTATTAATGGAATTAATATTTCAAAATCTATGTATCAGGCAAAATTCTCATCCTATTCCACCATTTCTTTATGTCCAATAAAAACACTGAAGCATCAGGAAAAGTGCCTAGAAATCTTGCCTACATTTGGAGGAGTTTTTGTACTGCGGGAAAGTTAGCTTCAAGTTTTTGCTTGAATGAAAAAGGAGTCAATTTAACAACTTCTCATTAAAACAATAAATTATTACCTATGATTTCTACCCCTTTGAAAGAATGCAAGTACAAATACCATGTTATGCTAAGGTATTGCTTATTTGTCTTCTAAGAAGTGCTCAGATATGAGGGGGAATGAACATGGTAAATAACCTATATGAACTACAACAGATGAGAGGACAAGCTAGGGATTGGGCTGGAGGTGGCCGCAGCCATTAATATGGAGTACCACTGTGATTTTTGGTAAAGTCACAGCCTTTTTTAGCACAAAAACCCATGAAATTTCCTCTGGGAATGCCTTCTGGATCAATTCAAGACCATAGCCTTCAAGCTTATGGAGCAGAGACACAGCTTAGAGAATCCAAGACGCCCTTAATTTTGTGCAACAAACCCTTGCCCAGCTTTCTGTAGGGATGCTGGTAAAATCTTACTTATGTAAACATGGTGCTAATGTAAAAGAAATCAAGTGTGATTCTCTGTAACTGTAAATAAAATTTTAGTTACAGTAAAAGAGAAATCTTGACCTGATCTTCTTGTTACCCCAAATGTTCCCACTTCACAAAGTCCATTTTAAGTTTAGGATGCTTTATTGGACTCGGGGCAAACACTTGCAGTAAACCTTAACATAAGTATTAAAAAATAACCCCACAAGTGTGTCAAAAAAAAAACCAACAAAACCACAAGCCCTAAATCTGTAATCATATTTGTTTCTAATGTTTGTCTGAGCCTGCACTTTGACACTTCAAACCTCATACATCTCCAGGGTACTTCAGTATCAAGCTTTTGCATGAAAGATGGTGATCACTGAGGATGCTTAGATCACCTTTCACCATAGTTCTGCAACAGTCAGTCCCTGGTACGCATGCAGACACCATCTACCCCATCACAGGCTATTTTTTTTTTTCTTGAAATAACAAGTGACACACCTTCTGCAATGAAGTTCTGTGCAGAAATAGATTTGAAAGTCATCCGAGTTGTGCAGCACATACAGGAAACAGCAGCGTTCTTCAAACTTCGATATGCTGCAAGAACAGCCAAGAGGAACACGTTAGTGGAAAGATGCACTGGGATTTCTACCAGCTATGTCAAACTATACAGATCGGCCCATTTAATATGGGAAAACACCAGGTTAAACCTAAGAAGCCATAGCTTTTCCTTATTGTAAAATTACACTCTTGTATCCTCCAAAGTTCACATTTTGTTGTTTGTTATTATTCAGCTCAGCCCCTAATCCACATATTGCCCAAGAAAGAGGAGGGGCTAAATCAACAGGATTATTTTCATTGATCTGAGTCATTTCTGTCTTCAGTGCATTTAGGTAAGGCCCTTAATTTCCACTCCTGCAGCTAGGATGAAACATCCTTTCATGAACACATTAAAAAGCTGGACTTTTAACTCAAATCATGAGTTCTTCCTGCTTTAGGAATCTGCCGCAGCTCAATCCTGAACACCAAAATTTCTGATTGGGTCTTTGTGTTGTATGCTGGAAAAATATTTTAAAATTAAGTCAGCATCAAAAAATTAGGTGAATGACTTTACAACCCCTGTCCACCCACGCCTTTCTTCAGTTTTTGCTTTATCTACTCTAAAAGGAGAGCAAAGATAATGGAAAAGTATGTGTGCCATTTTCTTGAGGATGCATAGATGCCTCAACAGAAGAGGCACAAACTCTGGTACAGTTGCCAGTTTTCTACCCCGAGTGGGCTGCAGCTCTTGTAAAGACATTAATTCACCATAATTGTTTTATATGCATGTCATTACTGTGCTCCTTATAGAAAAGATTAAGCATTATTTGAAATAGTTCTTTCTGTAACTTTGTCACATGTTGAGTGCCAGGTGTCAAGCTGATACATATAATTGTTACTATATTAGAAAAGGAAAAAAAACCAAACCCAAAATATGTCTAGAGGTGTTACAACTTATCTTGAGAAACCAAGATAAATTAAGTCCCCTTATTAACATTCTTAAGATACTGGACAAAATCCATATTCCTAGTGAAATAAATCTATTTTAGCTGGATCAAGAGAGCCATCATGTTTTTAATTAATTTATAGCACAATAAAGTAGAATGGTATTCTATGTTGTGCCAAAGGATTGATGATTTTATTAACTTAACAGTTTTTCTTTAAATATCAGGAAACGGTTGTAATTTTCAAACTTTAATAGGTGTCTAAAGTTGTCTGATCCTTGCTTCCTTTTATGATCCTTCTATTGTAGAGCCCTGTAACTTTTGATAAACAAATGGCTCTTTAGACAAGGTGAAGGGTCTGCCTTTCATAAAGCTCCTTATGAAAAAAGCAAGCTTCATTATAAGAGTATTTGTCTTTCGGTGTGGTGACTCATTTATTTTTATGTTAGGAAAAATTAATAAGTGCTAAGTAATGTACACATCTCTGAAGACAGTCCCCAGTTTATAAACTCACTTTTAATTCAAGTTTTTCAAGCATATAGGTAAACTCTCCAGATATGGAGTAACTGATATTAACAGAATTACTCATTCATTTCAAGCTCCGTGTGAGTTTAAACATTTTACTGATTAAACTGTCAGTTTAAACCTGACATGCACAAAGCCACTGACTAACACAGCAGTGAATAAAAGGGTAAGAATGTGGAGTGTACACAGAGGGCAGGCAAATTCATAAATATTTAAGGCCTTTAAGTGAGCATTTACATTGCTTATATGTTGCTTTCCTCCCTAAAAAAATATTATTAAAGTGAAAAAAGGAAGACTAAAAAATACGAAGTTATAAAAAAGAGACAGGATAATTTCCTCAGGAAATGCCTCATTCCGACAGTTCTTGAGCACACATAGTAACCATCAACTTGTAGGAGAGCAGAATTGGGGCTGAATTTGTGAAACTCCAAAGACAAACAGGGAAGCACAATGTCATGTGGCCTTATGCCCAGCTCGTGTGTGTCCAGAACTCCCTTGGTCAATGAGAAATACTGCAAATGCTGTAACTACTGCTTACTAATACTTCCAGATGAAGCAGCAGATAAAAACAGTTGAGCATTGGCAGCAAACACAGAAAAGCAGCTCCACGGAGCTTTTGTCCGTTTTCTAGAAGTGTAGCAGTATAGACATCTCCTACTGTTGTAATTAAGTAGTCTGATTAGATTCCAAGCTCCAAGAACTTGGGATGGAAGACAAATATCCTTGTTGTTAATTCTTAAGCTATGAAGAACACTGGATGCAGATCTGAATCTAACTTTTTTGCTGTTTCTAACGCTACCTTCATGAGCACAACCTCTGAGGCACTCACTCTCCCACGGAAGAGATTTCATAATCCAGGGCTTGCCCTGAACACTGAGAAAAAGCCAACTTGTAGTCTAGCAATTTCAGTCTGGTACTTTATTTTTTATTTTTAATTTGTAAAAAGAAAGCTGGTATCTTCTTGCTCATATGATGCCAGCTCTGCAGAACACTAGGGACTTTTCTGGATAACTTAAGATGCAAAGCACTTTAGGATAGCGGTCATGTCCCAAAAGCTCTGATTAAGTCTTCAAGATTAACAGTACTTTTTGGCCTGATTCAATAATAAACATTTGTGTTTAAGAGGTCAAGAAGGCATATGACAAAAGCAGAGTTATTTACATGGGCACACAAAGCACTAATCAATGAGTTTGTTAAGCTAAAGCCAATTACTATGACTCTCTGCATACAGAGTGTGATTTAGCACCGTGCTGCTCAGAGAGCTCTACATGCTTCCCAAGTCCCTTTGCAGTTCTCAAGACCTGAACTCTATTACTCATGAAATAAGATGCTGATTACACTGGCTGACACATAGCACACAGAAGTGACCCCTCAGTCATTTCCTTGAAGTATTTACAGAAAACATTAGCCATTTCAATGCTAGATGTTTCTTCAGATCCACTGTCTCCTTAAGTAACGCACTAAGAGGAGGCCTTTGTTGAAAAAGCCTCCAAGATCATGTACAAAGACCTGCCTTGTACATTAAGGCTGCACTTCTAAAGCTGGCTCTTACTAGTCTAGAAAGGCTTAGAATCCTCATAAAGCTGGGAACTCCGCCTTCCTAGACTGCTTTAAGTCTAGCGGCTTCAAAGGAGCCTAAAATAGTCTTGATACAAAAATAGATTAGAAGCAGGCCGGATTCTGAAGGCTGCCTCGCTCCAAAGAATATCTGCCTTCATAAAACTAGGAAACAACCTGAAAAACTAAGTGAACAGAAACTTGCATATATTTGGAAGAAGAAAACAAAACAAAAGAAGTTTTATTCAGTTTTATACTTGCATAAGATAAAGATTTCCCCCTGCAGCTCCTCATGGGGGCAGCCAGAGAGTTTTCTAAGAATTCACAGTGACTCTTGGCTCAGTGTGAAGTGTTCCAAGTTGTTTTGGACATCTGTCCAGATGAACAGATTGGAAGTTTAATTGACAAATGACAGTTTAAACCACAAATGAAGGAGGGTATACCAGAAACAGTACTGACCACAATATGGTTTAACAAGCAGGGGGGAGACCAAAAAAAAAAAAGACAATAAATAAATACTTTTTTTTTTTTTTTTAGAAGTACACAAAAACATACTGTAACCAAAACCCAAACCAGACTGAACTAAGTGTATCATTGCAATTTTTTGCCTAAAATAAGCTGAATCCCACAGGATTGAATTTCTGTGCCTATTGATAGTTTGTTTTTTTAAGTTATTTTTTGGAAGGAAAAAGAATCATCCATCTGTGCAAAAACGTACTGCAGACATAGCAACAGCTTTGTGTGTATGGAACAGCTATTATTAGAACGGAGCAAGGACTATTTTAAAAAAAAAAGAGTAATATTTCGGGACTTTTTTTTTTTTTTTAAGTGGAAAGTTGCAGGATGCCAAAGTATAGATAAATGCTAGGGGGAGGGGAAAAAATAAAAAAGATAGAGACTAAGACGAAGAATTGATGCAAAGAGGTCACAGCAGTGGTAGAACACTACTTTTTTACTATCAGAAGATACAAATTGCAAGGCTGGACCCTGCCAAGCAGGATGCATTCAACACGGCCTAGCAGAGCAGACCCACTAGGTCCAAACTGGCTGTTCTCTACTGACAGTATGGCACAAAAACCAGTAAAAAATTCTCCCTAGAAGGAGTCTCTCTAGTAGAGGAAAAACGTTTTGCTGAAATAAAGCAAACACATGGCAAAATTTCCTCCTTTGTCATTATCTCATAAGCCCTGTCCCAAAGAGGGACATGTGCTGAAGAACAGAAAGATGGCCTTGAACATATAACTTCATTCTCTTCTAATCCAGTCAAGCCAGTCTTGCACGTGCCGTTCCTGATCCTATGATTTATTAATCCATGTTAACCTACTCCACATGAATCTTTGGGAGGTTAGGGGTTGTTTTTTTCTCTCCCCCCCCCCCCCCCTCTTTTTTTTTTTTTTTTTTCTTTACCTCTTCTTCTATCGATTCCTTTTTCTGTTCTCTAACAATCTTCAAGTTTTCACTTGGTGGTCTAACTACCACTCTGCATTGACAGACTCCTCTCCTTAGGGGCTTTCCTGAAACAGTTTTGCTGCCATATCCATGAACAGACACAGAAACAAAAGAACCACAAACATACATGCTCACAGCAAAACCCAACAACAGGTAAGCAATTAGGGTGTTACAAGACACCCTGATCTTGTCAGTTCCTCATATTCTCTTGCTCTGCATCCACGTGTTACTTCCTGGCTTACGTACTCTGTGCACTAGGCTGCTCCTGGCTGTGACAGAACTCAGGTAAATTGACATGAAACATTGGTAGTTATTTTAATTCAATCTTAATCAGTATAAAGTAAGTGATTACCAACTTTCAGAAAATACTAGTTATTTGATTCAGCAGGTTATGTTTGCTAATTTTTACCTCCAAGTGGTCATTTCTGAATCCGAAATAAGATTCCCAGGGGTTTACTTAGAGCAGGGCACCTGTGACGGTATCTGCAATACTCTGCTCCAATTCTGTGTCTATTACTCCACCAAAGTGCACTGCAGCAGCTTAATACAATACTCATTCAATTACTCTTTTCATTTCAAAACATGAAAGGGAAACAACTTACCTTACTCCCCTGATTGAAGCAGCACTGAAGTTCCACTCATGGATACCTTTCTGTAACAGGCAGAAGAAAATAAAAAAATAAAGCATTCCTTTTTATGGATGAAGCACCAGTAGGTGCATAACTTCTAGACCAAAACTAACGAGATGGAAAGAGAAACACGTGAATTACAATAGTCTATTTCCTTTTCACAGTTATTTTTCAGGGCATTTTTTTTTCACCCACAACTAAAGCAAGAGAAGTTCTAGATAGAAGTTTTCAGTTGTTTATTTCTTCACTGTTTACTCTGCAAACACAATATACTATTTTAGAAAGCACGTGTGTTGGGTTTGGGGGTGGGGGGCACATTTTTGGTAGTGGGGGAAGAGGCTGCCTTTTGATAAGCTTCAAAGCTCCCCTGGCTCCAAGGTGGATCCCCCCAGCCCAGGCTGAGCCAATGAGCAATAGAGAAACACCTCTGCGAATCCATATTTGTGAGGGGAAGGACTGTCCTGAAAAGAAGAAGGTGGAGAGAACCTGGAGGAGAGGCCATTGACCTGAACAAAAGACGACCATCAGCCTAAACATAGAGAGAGCTTTGTTGTCAGGAGTAAGGAGGAGGAGGGGAAGGACAGAACCTCAGACCCCCAGTTCAACAGCAT